CCAATCCACAAAAAAGGCTGCAAGCAGGACCCTGGCAACTACAGGCCTGTCAGCCTACCTCGGTGCCTGGCAGGGTTATGGAGCAGATCATCCTGAGTCCAATCACACAGCACCTTCAGGATGGACAAGGGATTAGACCCAGCCAGTATGGCTTTGGGAGGGGCAGGTCCTGTCTGACCAACCTGATCTCTTTTTATGATCAGGTGACCCTGATCATAAAATGGTGGATGAGGGGATGAAGGGAAGGCTGTGGATGTGGTCTATCTAGACTTCAGCAAGGCCTTTGACACTGTCTCCCATAATATACTCCTGGAAAACCTGGTAGCCCATGGCTTGGACAAGTGCATCCTCTCCTGGATTAGGAGCTGGCTGGAGGGTCAGGCCCAGAGAGTGCTGGTGAATGGAGCTGCATCCAGCTGGCGGCCAGTCACTAGTGGTGTTCCCCAGGGGTCTGTGTTGGGTCCAGTCCTGTTTAACATCTTTATTGATGATTTAGATGAGGGGATTGAGTCCGTCATCAGCAAATTTGCTGATGACACCAAATTGGGAGGGAGTGTCGACCTGCTGGAAGGCAGGAGGGCTCTGCAGAGGGATCTGGATAGACTTGAGAGATGGGCTGATTCCAATGGGACGAAGTTCAATAAAGCCAGGTGCCGGGTCCTGCACTTTGGCCACAACAACCCCATGCAGCGCTACAGGCTGGGCACAGAGTGGTTGGAAAGCAGCCAGGTAGAAAGGGACCTGGGGGTACTAATTGACAGGAAGCTCAACATGAGCCAACAGTGTGCCCAGGTGGCCAAGAAGGCCAATGGGATCTTGTCCTGTATCAAAAATAGCGTGGCCAGCATGAGCAGGGAAGTGATCCTTCCCCTGTACTCTGCGTTGGTGAGGCCACACCTTGAGTATTGTATTCAGTTCTGGGCCCCTCAGTTCAGAAAGGATATTGAGGTACTGTAGCGGGTCCAGAGAAGAGCAACGAGGCTGGTGAAGGGACTGGAGCATAAGTCCTATGGGGAGAGGCTGAGGGAGCTGGGGTTGTTTAGCCTGGAGAAGAGGAGGCTCAGAGGTGACCTCATCACCGTCTACAACTACCTGAAGGGAAGTTCTAGCCAGGTGAGGGTTGGTCTCTTCTCTCAGGCACTCAGCAATAGGACAAGGGGGCATGGGCTTAAGCTCTGCCGGGGGAAATTTAAGTTGGATATCAGGAGAAAATTCTTTACAGAGAGAGTAATCAGGCATTGGAATGGGCTGCCCAGAGAGGTGGTGGATTCACCATCCCTGGAGATTTTTAAACGCAGATTGGACGTGGCACTGAGTGCCATGATCTAGTAAATGGACTGGATTTGGACCAAGGGTTGGACTCCATGGTCTCGGAGGTCTTTTCCAACCCAATCGATTCTATGATTCTATGATTCTATATTCATTTATGTACATGGAAGATCCACTCTTGTTTTAAAATTAAATTTACAAGGAGGTGGAGAGGGCTGCAGGAGCCGGAGACAGGGAAGAGAGGAATTAGTTAATGATCATGAATGACAGGACTTAATATTCTGTGTATTGAATTGCTTTTAATATTCAGGAATGAGAAATTATACTTATTTCTTTGATAGCATAAATACTTTTCCTCTACATCTGGTACATGTGTGGGCTACATGAATGTCCATTTTCATTATTCAGTTATAGTGAGTATATTGGGTTTTTATGCAGGAGTATATTATGTTTAGTGGGCAGCTCTGATTTTATCAAACTGTGGAGTATTAATCCCATGGTACATCTTTATAGAAATTTAATGCCTCAGTCTTTTTGTGATTTTTTTTTAGTACAGCAACATATAAATTACGAAGAAAGTTATAGGACTTTTGAAAAGAAATGAAATTTTCAAGAGAACACATCAGTCACAATAATAATAAAGTGAAGGAGATAAAATTATTGGCAAACAGAATGAAGCAGAATCAATACAAAATACACAAATTCATAAACTAAAAGTGCAGCACTTTACCATAAATCGAAGAGGAAACCAGTATTTTATAAAACATCAGACTGTTACTCACAGAGGGCAAGAGCCTTTTTTTTCTTACTAAGGATAGCATACAGGTTGGGCTTGATGATCTTGGAGGTCTTTTCCAACCCAGTTGACTCTGTGATTCTATGATTCTCCTCAAAAATCTCCATTAAATGAGTGAACCAGTTTGTTCAGCAAGGAACGATCTACCAGGACTATCAGGGGTAAATCACTGTTATGGCTCAGTCTGGTGAATAGAACAGATGGTGCTGGTTCAGGATATAAAGAAGTGGGGATAAGTGGGGATAAATGGGGATAATCAGTTTTTGCTGCTGATCAGCACAGGGTGTGGGAAATAAATCAGAGAGGTGCCACTTTCACTTTGGTAACACACAGAACAAGTGATAAGAAAAGAACAAAACATGTCCTTGGTGGGCTTGGCAGTGCTGGGTTTAATGATTGGACTCGATGATTTTAGAGGGCTTTCCCAAACTAAATGACTCTGTGATTCTGTGACGCTGTAATGAACTGGTGGGATGCTACAGTTTGTGCTGCTGTCTGCAGTGCACAAGGCAGCTGGCAGAAGGCAGTTCGGTAAGGCATGTTCCAGCCCCCTGCAGCTGGCACAAGAAGTAACTGCCTGGATGGAAAAAAAATGACAAAAAGATGTACTTTAGGGTTCTGGACCTGAAAGCCATCCCCATTGTAGTGCTTGAAAGGTGTGGAACCCTTTGCTTCTCTAGCTGTTAACCAATTCTACATCTTTTCATATCTCTCTATTACTTACCTTGAGCTTTGCCAAGCAGCTCCTTGGGCATCATTTCTGTGTGGCATAATCACAGTGTCAATGGGGATTTTGTAGGATGCAATTTTCAAAAGCAGTTGCTGTTGGCCTGATCTTGTCCTTATTGATACTACTGAGAATTTTACCACTGACTGCCAAATATGAAGGAGTTTGGGGGTTTAAATTTTGCCTATTGTCATTTCCTTTGAAATCATCTGCCTGTTATGGGTATGTAGATGTGCTCATGACAATTATTTTAGCATCTTTCTGAGGCTTTTCATTAGAAGAAAATTTTGTGTTTTGCAAAACATTGAGTAATTTTCTTCTTCCATGTCTTCATCATTAGTGTTGAGAAAAAAACCAAACTCATACCTCAGCTTTAGCGTTATTAATTGCTCAGGTGTCTTCTTGTAGGTGTCCTCAAGCAGACATTTCATAGGAATAAGGTTGTGGCCAAAGGATGCCTGTTACTAGCAAAAATACTACTTTCAGAAAAAGAGATTTTCTGCATTTATTTTAAAGCTTCTCTAAGTTTTAAGAGTTGAAGGAAATAATTGAAACTTTTTGTTTAAGGAAAATCCAAAGCTCTTCTTCAAAAGGCAAGCATTTTTTGACCCTTAGAGATGTTCCCTCATCCTATATTCCTGTATTCTTTTCTGCAATTTCTCTCCTTTGAGTCCAGCTCATTGACGCAGGAGATGTTAAACCTGTGATCAGAAATACCAAACCCAGGTATGGATTCTGGTTTATCATATTGTTAACCTTGCTTAAGCCTGAAAAAAGAATAACATTTATAAGAGCTCTGTAAGTGCCTGTGTCACCAAATCTTCCTGTTCTGTTTAGAACAGAAATTTACTTCTGTTAGTCTTGAATATTGTAAAGATTTAAGATTCCAGAAAATAATGATATTTTCCTGAATTGGCAGTCAAATTAGATCCAAAATGATTATCCAAATTACTTAGTTGTCCTAAATTCTGGATTCTCTTCTACTGTATAAACTTGAAGTTTGAGAGCCTTTGGAATTACATGGTCTACAAAGGCCTTAATTATAACTATTCAATTTAAAATGTCTGTAGTCTGGATCTGACCTAATCAGTCATTTTTCTTTCCATAATCCCCCATATCTTTCCACAAGTGTCCTAAGTTCCTTTAATCAGGGGTTGTATACAGGGTTGATAAGTAAATCTACAAGTCTTTTATTACTACCTTCTACTTTTGCTTGGTCAAATATGTGTTTAAACTACGGATGCTTCTGAGAATTAAACTAGTACTGATTTAGGTATGGGAAGGGATCATTAATTAGCAGTCTTCCAGGAATCCTCTGGTCATCTCCTCCTCATTTCTTTTTTGCTTGGGCATTTTATCAATTCAAAGATTTGCAAAACTGGAACATATTTGTCTAGTTCTCATGTGCAATTGACCTTTGATATGTCTGCTCTAATTAGCTATTTAGTATCTTTGTTATATGTAGAATTGTGTGACTCCTGTTCCTTCTCCAGAGTGGGAGCCAGAAACACCAGAGAGATATTGATTAAATTCAAAGTAGATGTGAAATTTCAGAAGCCAAAAGAAAAGAAATCTCACTTTCTCGTGTTTGATGCCTTTTATTGTTGTATTTTATGCCATTTTATTTTTTAAAAAAATCTGATAAATGAACTGAAAAACCCACAAAACACAATTAGTGATGCAACTTTTCTATTTCAAATATTTTTGTGATTAATATTCTAATAATGTAATGTTTTACATTTGGGTTAAGAAAAATACATAATAATGATAATTGAAGACATCAGAGAACATTAAAAATCTTTGGTTTGAGTAAACTCTTTTTCTAGAAGAGAACTTTGTTTTATAGCAAACCCTAGAAACAAAATTAACGGTTGTATTCATTTATTTTTTTTCTGCACCTTTCTAAACCTTAGCAGAAGGATTGAGTTTTAAAGATTTCATAGAATCATAGAATAGTTTGGGTTGGAAGGGACCAAAAAGGTTATCTAGTTACAACCCCCCTTCCCTGGGCCAGGACACCTTCCACTAGACCAGGTTGCTCAAAGCCTTTCCTCCCTTCTGGTGGGGTAGCCTGTAACAGAGTCCAATAAAGCCGTCTGTGTCTGACTTCCCTTTATTCTTGATCCATTTGCTCTTGGTCAGCTCCTCATCCATCCCCAGGCAGAGCTCCCTGCACTCTAGCTGGTCACTAATACGGAGGGTGATATGACCTTTGTGCAGTGGCAGTATCATAGCCCATGAGGTTAATCTGAGGCGCGATTATTGGTAGTTGAAAACTTTTCCCAATACCTCACCATGGTGACTTGAAATATAGTCGGTAAGGGCTTTAAACTAGGTTTGAAGGGGGAAGGGCTTGAAACCCTTAAGGGGTTTCAAGCTTAAGGGTGGAAAGCCTGAGTTAAGAGTGAAATCAGCAGCCCAGCTGAAGTGCCTGTACACCAATACACGCAGTGTGGGTAACAAACAACAGGAGTTGGAAGCCATCGTGCAGCAGGAAAGCTGTGCTGTAGTCAGTATCATGAAAATGTGGTGGGATGACTCACATGACTGGAGTGCTGCCATGGATGGCTACAGGCTCTTGAGAAGGGACAGGCAAGGTAGCAGAGGTGGAGGAGTGGCTCTATATGTCAGAGAGTCTCTTGACTCTGTGGAACTTGAAGTCAGTAACAATAAGGTTGAGTGCCTGCGGATCAAAATCAGGGGGGAGGCCAATAAGGCTGACATTCTGGTGGGAGTCTGTTACAGACCACCCAACCAGGATGATGATAAATTATTCTACAAGCAGCTGGCAGATGCCTCAAAATTTCCAACTCTTGTTCTCGTGGGTGAGTTCAGCCTACTGGATGTGTACTGGGAACTCCACACAGCGGAGAAGAGGCAGTCTAGGATATTCCTAGAATGTATGGAGGATAATTTCTTGCTCCAGCTGGTAAATGAGCCTACCAGGAGTGGGGCCCTGCTAAACCTGCTGTTTACAAACAGAGAGGGGCTGGTGGGAGATATGGTGGTCGGAGTCCATCTGGGGCACAGTGACCATGAAATAATAGAGTTTTCAAAACTCAGGGATGCAAGGAGGGCCATCAATAAAACCTCTAAGCTGGACTTCCGGAGGGCAGATTTCGGCCTGTTCAGAAGACTAGTTCAGAGTGTACCCTGGGAAACAACCCTTGAAAACAAAGGGGTCCAGGAGGGATGGACATGCTTCAAGAAGGAAGTCTTGAACATACAGGAGCAGGCTGTCCCAGTGTGCCGAAAGGCGAGCCAGTGGGGAAGACGACTGGTCTGCCTGAACAGGGAGATTTTGAAGGAAAGTAGGGTAAAAAAGAGAGCCTACCAATTATGGTAAAAAGGGCTGGCTACTCAGGAAGAGTTTAGGAATATAGTTAGGTCACGTAGAAAGAAAATTAGAGAGACGCAGGCACAATTTGAACTCAATCTTGCCACTTCTATTAAGGATAATGAAAAGCCTTTCTACAGATACATCAATAGCAAAAGGAGGGGCAAGGAAAACCTCCATTCTTTATTGGACATGGGTGGGAACATAGTTATCAAAGATGAAGAAAAGGCTGAGGTGTTTAACACCTTTACCTCAGTTTTCAACAGCAAGACAGGTTGTCCTGAGGACAGCTGGCTTCTGGAGCTTGTAGAAAGAGATAAGAAGCTGAATAGCCCCCCTGTAATCCAGGAGGAAACCTGCTGAACCACTTGGATCCTCACAAGTCTATGGGATCAGATGGGATCCATCCTAGGGTGATGAGGGAGCTGGAGGAAGAGCTCACCAAGCTGCTCTCCATCATTTACCAACAGTCCTGGCTCACTGGGGAGGTCCTAGATGATTGGAAGTTGGTGAATGTCACACCCATCCACAAAAAGGGCTGCAAGGAGGACCTGGGCAATTACAGGGCTGTCAGCCTGACCTCAGTGCCTGGTAAGGTTATGCAGCAGATCATCCTAAGTGAAATCACGCAGCACCTACAGGATGGACAAGGGATCAGACCCAGCCAGCATGAGTTTAGGAAGGGCAGGTCCTGTCTGACCAACCTAAACTCCTTTTATGATCAGGTGACCCGCCTGATGGATGAGGGGAAGGCTGTGGATGCGTTTACCTGGACTTCAGCAAAGCCTTTGACACTGTCTCCCACAGCATTCTCCTGAAAAAGCTGCAGCTCATGGCTTGGACAGGGGCACTCTCTGCTGGGTTAAGAACTGGCTGATGGCCGGGCCTAGAGAGTGGTGGTGAATGGTGCTGCCTCCACTTGGTGCCAGTCACTAGTGGTGTCCCCCAGGGATCAGTGTTGGGCCCAGTTCTGTTTAATATCTTTATCGATGATCTTGATGAGGGGGTTGAGTGTACCATTAGTAAATTTGCAGATGACACCCAGTTGGGGGGGAGTGTTGATCAGCTGGAAGGCAGGAGGGTTCTGCAGAGGGACGTGGACAAGCTGGAAAGTTGGGCTGATTCCAATGGGATGAGGTTCAACAAGGCCAAGCACCAGGTCCTGCGCTTTAGCCACAACAACCCCCTGCAATGCTACAGGCTGGGCATAGAGTGGCTGGAGAGCAGCCAGACAGAAATGGAGCTGGGAGTTTGGATTGACAGGAAGCTGAACAAGAGCCAGCAGTGTGCCCAGGTGGCCAAGAAGGCCAATGGCATCCTGACCTATATTGGGAACAGTGTGGCCAGCAGGACCAAGGAAGTGATTCTTCCCCTGTAGTCAGTGCTGGTGAGGCCATACCTGGCGTGCTGTGTCCAGTTCTGGGCCCGTCAGTTCAGGAAGGATGTTGAGGTGCTAGAGCAGGTGCAGAGAAGAGGAAAGAGACTGGTGCAGGGACTCAAACACAAGTCCTATGTGGAGGACTATGAAGAGAGGCTGAGGGAGCTGGTGCTGTTCAGCCTGGAGAAGAGAAGGTTCAGGGGAGACCTCCTCACTCTCTACAACTCCCTGAAAGGAGGTTATAGCCAGGTGGGGGTTGGTCTCTTCTCCCAGGCAGCTATCAGTAAGACAAGAAGGCACAGTCTTAAGCTGTGGTACCGGGGGAGGTTTAGGTTAGATATTAGAAAGAAATTCTTTGCAGAGAGGGTAATCAGACATTGGAATGGGCTGCCCAAGGAAGTGGTGAATTCTCCATCCCTGGAGGTTTTTAAGATGAGACTGGATGTGGCCCTTAGTGCCATGATCTAGTAACCGCAGCGGTAGTGGATCAAGGGTTGGACTTGATGATCTCAGAGGTCCTTTCCAACTCATCTGATTCTATGGTTCTATGATTCTATTATGCCCATCTCTGTCTTCCCTACCTGTCCTAAAGAGCCTGTGTCCTTCCTTGCTACATTAAATTGTCTTCTTTTGATTATTTTTTTCTTTTTGTTCACTCTGCTATGAAGGCATTCTTGGGTTGTGCAAATAATTATTTTTCAGTGGAAGAAAGAATTATTTGAGGACAAAACTGGAATAATTTATACTATAGTATCTTCCTTTTTGAATTCTGAAGAAAATGAGAAGGAATTTGAAAGGAGCCAGATAAAAATCCTGAAGAAATGAGTCAGAAAGAAAAAAGAGGGAAATGCTACTTCAGAGTGTGTGTGATGTGCGATCATCCCAACATGTTTCTTTCAACATGGAATGGCTCAGAATTGCCCGATTTTGCCCTTTACAGCAAAATAGTCACACTGATAATGTAATATTCCTCATTGTGTTCATCCTATAGCTATATTCAAACACAATCAGCTGTTCAAAGATAAAATTGGGCAATTTTGTTATGAATGGTGTATGATTTCAGAACCTTTGTGGTGCTCACTGGATGTGCTCTATCCACAATTTAGTAAATGAAGTTGTACCTTAGCAACTGCTAACAATACAAAGATGTGCGAAGACCTGAGCAAATAAGTACCTCTGTAAATCAATATTTTTGAGGTGCCTTATAATACTGTGATTTTAAACTGTATTTCTAGTGATGGCAAGATATGGTGAAGTAATTGTGAAGGTCTGTGTCAAAAGAAGGTGCTTCTATTTGCTCTCATTTTACTTCATATATATCCCCTTCAATATCCTTCGATTATGGGATGACTGTTTCGGAAGATCAGCCTTGCAAAAAGGTACCCTTCAGTCACATCAATAGAGGCACAGCTGGCTGAATAGTTTTCAAATTACTTTTTCAGAGGAAAATACTTGAGTCATTAAAACACAGACTGGTTGAGCATAAAGGCCCCTTTCAATGAGATTACTATTACTATGTCAGTTGAAAGAACAGATTTGAGAATTTGCTTATTTAGACATTAAACATATCTATAGCAAATAATATAGATGAAATATAACAAGTCTTCACAATTATTGAAACAAAGTATTTTATTTACTCCCTTTTATTTGATTGGAATGAGATTTTTTGCTTTTCAAGCTTTTTTTGAGGTTTGAAATTTAGACTTGATTCAAGCCAATGAAAATGTCAAGAATTCTTGCAGAATGGTGAAAGTGTTTTCATTCCCTTTTTTTAGCAGTCTGCTCTGAATGCAAAGGAGAAACACCGCTCTATTCTTACTTTGAAATCTTCTGCTTTTTTGTACAACAGACACTATGCTCATCCTCTAACCTTGATGCACAGGGTGCTAAGGGAACTTATTGCAAGTTTCGCTTCTGATAAAACAGTGTTTGACTGCCTGAGCTGATGAAGAGCCCCTATGAGCTATTACTAATGATACAGCCAATTTGATCAGATAGATACAAATAATGAAGTTGGTCTAATTGCCTCTGGTAAGATGCAGTGGTGCATATACTCACTACCCTATTTCGGTGAGTTATGTCAACATATCACGAGTTGGAACCTTTGAGAATAACCTTCTTATAGAATAACAATGAGGCTTATGCTTCATTCTTTTCTATTTCCTGTTATACCTGATGGTTTTTTATCATATGGGGTCTTGATACCTGTAGGAACAAGGTACTCCTTCTAGTGAGTTGATGGGTTTTTTTGGTAGATCTTGAATCATAAAATCATAGGATGGTTTGTGTTGGAAGGGATCTTAAAAGACCACTTAGTTACAAACCCCTGCCAAGGGCAGGGACACCTTTGACTAGACCAGGTTTCTCCAAGTCCTGTCCAACCTGGCCTTGAAGACTTCCAGGGATGGGGCAGCCACATCTTCTCTGGGCAATGTCTGCCAGTGCCTCACCATGCTCACTGTGGAGAATTTCTTCCCCAGGGTTTTCTCTTCTCCAGGCTGAAAAGCCCCAACTTCACAATTTGTCTTCATAGGAGAGGTGTTCCAGCCCTGTAATCTTCTTTGTGGCAGTTCCTTGAAAGAGGATTCTCTTTCTCTCCCTGAAATAGTTAGAACTAAGCCCAAGAGTCTAGAATTTCCCTTACCACTGAAATA